AATTTTGTGTAAATTGTCTGTAGTTTATTGTGTTCCTTGATATATTCATTTTGTAGCTTGAAAATGCATGGAGGCATATTAGCAAAATGACAAGCCTCCTGTGAGAAGCTGATGTTCCCATATTAGTTCAAAACCATACAGCAAGTGCTAAAAAAATACATTATAGCTGTTAGTGGTCAGTTTTGCAGTTGCATTTCTGGGGAATGTGATGCTGTGTGCACCAGGTAGTCCTCAATGAGCATGGAAATTCTAGTGGCTGGTAAAGCAAGCTGAAAACATTGCCTCAGGTTTCCCTTATTGTAGATCCCCTTGTTACAGTTTCTGACATCTGCAAGTTCCATCCTGCTGACACCACTTTTCAGGGGAAACCTGTACATTGGCAGCACCTACCTGAGCCATTTTGGGTGACATTAATTTCCATTTTGGAGAATTAACTGCCATTACATGCACCAGGTCATCCAGGTTTCACAGAAATATGAAAATATAAAAGTACTGTTTTATGGTAACAAAGATATATATTATCCAATTTTTAACAGGTTTTGATATGGGGTTCATCCATTTATTCAAATTGCATTTAGAAAAGTATTTTACCTTGTCTCCCAGTTAAGTAAATAGACAAGTTCTTTGGAGCAAAGTCATAATAGTAGGTGCTCTGAAATCCTGAGTTCCTTGTCTGATTCTCAAGGCAAACTAGATGCTGCAAATCAGGTGATGTCATCAGCTTCTTGAGGATCATCTTTAGTTTTAAGAATGTAAGTTAATTTGAAATAAATGCTTCATAATAATTTGAAGAATTTTAAATCACAATGATTGGAAAGTTATTGTTGGCAGCGGTGGTCAGTATTTTGAAATATGTAAGGCATTATTTTATAATAATGCCTTTTCTTCATTCATAATATTTGATGTGGTAAGGGCTGAACTTTGAATTGAAAATAGTGTTGTAATCTGGATTCTTTCACACCTTTCATCATTCTAAATCTTATGGGATATAGGGTCAGTAGAAAGAAGACCTAATAGAGGTCTTCTGGTTTTTTTAAATTTTTTTTAAAATTTTCTTGACTTATATATTTTATAATGTATATGCACTCATTGCATAGTGCATAGTGTTCCAGCTTGCAAAAAAATTTATACATTATATATCTTTGGGAAGCATTAATTAATTTAGGTTGTACTCCAAGATGACCACAGACCACATTAAAGAGAGTGCTGAGCTTAAGGTAATAATTGCTGTCTGAAGGCTGTGTCTTAACAAATAAGTCCAGCTCTGTGACATTGCAAGTTACCCAGCATGTGGCCTAGATGGTAGCAAAGGAAGCCCATATCTTGGTTTTAAAATGTTCTGTCCTGTGTCTCTTAGAACATAAATTTATTCCTCACTTTGGATAGCTTGGTTGCAAATTATATGGGGAATTGCTAACTGCTCTGTTTTTCTCGGGAGTTTAGGTGACCTTTTGCAGTTTCCAAGAATGAGGTAATTATATGTTTTAAAGACTTACATCTTGAAACTTGATATTAGCAGTAAAGAACAGAGTGAACACAAGACAAATTCAAGGTGCATGATACAATTCCCTGAGGGCTGGCAGTTTCATGTGCAGGAAACTTAGATTGTTGCTCAGGTATGAAAGTGAGTGCAAGAGCAAGTTAAATCCAGGTCCAGCCCAATGGATGCCAGCATAGTGACTGCTGGGTTGTGTGGGAGTGAAGGGGATTGTGACTCCAGTATTTCTCCACTGCAAATTCCCTTCACTTGACTAATTGTGGAGCCTTGCCTCTAAAGGAGGGAGAATGTTCTGAGTTAACGTTGGGTGCTGTGTGCCTCAGATGGAAATAGCAGATAAGACCTATTAAAAGTATGTTTGTCCTTATGTACCCAGAAGCAAGAAAAAAAATTAAAAGGCAAAATCAATGGATAAATCAGTAAGTTATTTGTACCCTAGAGGCTGTTGTTTCTGAAGCGTGTACCTTCATGAGTTATAAAGCAGATATTAGTCTCAGAATTATTCCTTACTGTTCAGTGGTTTTCCCAAAATTTAATGACAACTAATTTCTGTGAAGGTACTGCTTTTCTCCTTTTGCTGTGCTTCACTGATGGCTGAGTACATTTTTCATGAATAGGGAGAGGGGTAAGAGTATCATCAAAACATCAGGAAACAGGCTCACAAATGCAAGCTGTGTTCAGTTAATAGTTTACAGGTCTTTTCAGTTATGGTTCATGTATTCCTCTTTTATTACTAATTATCCATGATAATTCATTTCAAAATTTTCCATTTACAAAGAGTAAATGAATATAAGCACATTTTCAAACTTAGAACGTATGCCCTCTAAAACATAGATATAGGCTTTATTCAAGTTTCCCCACAACATATGTAATAAAACACAGTCATTTGCTTCTCAGTAGCTACAAAGTTTATTGTGGAATATGGAAGCACAAAATTGTAATTTAAAATATTTAGGGAGTCGCAGAATGTTTTAATATTGGTGGCATAAAATTGACAAAATTTGTCACGGTTACTAAAGTGTTCTAACAATATTTCCATCATACATTATATATTAAGTTAATTAAAGAGCTGGTATCGAGTTATTGAGAAACCCGTTTCACTTTGTCCATTATGTTCTTAAACCATATTTATTAGAAATTATTATTGTTGAGTTGGCAGATGACTTCAAATCATAGTAAGCTGTTTTAGACTTCAAGGAAAACCGAGCTTTCCTTTGGTCTGCTGAGTTTTTTAACATATCTGTCAATTCCTAATTTAACATTCAGTCAATCAGTTTCTTTAAGGTTGGACAGTTTGATTTGTCCATAAACAATAAATTCTCTTGTACATTTATTCACCTTGCCCTGGAACCTGCTCTTGTTCAGTAGCCAGTTTAAGATCTTATCATGTTCTTTGTTACTGTATTTACTTTTATTGTCACCAAGCAGGATGTAGTTCTAATAAGAGACCATTTGTTCCTTTTTTATTTATCGCATCCTCTGGCAGTGTTGAATTCATTTTGGTCTAATCCAGAAAGGTTGCCCCTGCAATGTCTTCAAATGAAGCAGGAGGTATCAAAAATCCCCCTTGCCACAGAAAGTGGTCGATGCTTCATGAGACCAAGTACCTCTAAGGAACCTCCCAGGCTCCTGGCTTCTTCCTCCTCACCCTAAAGAGAGAAAGCCACCCCATAGGGGGTCACTTTCATGTGCTTATTCTCCAGTATTGTTCTAAACTCCTTTACACAATCTGCGAAATCTCAGGGGCTGTGGATGTATTTGATAAATGGAAATGTGGAACCACACTATCTAATATTACAGTTTAGTCCAATGCTATTCACTTCTGATGTCTTGAGTTGAAGAACACATCATCTCTGTCTCTGTAGCAGAGTAGCATTTCTGCTGTCAGCAATCCACAGTGAGGTTTATCTGTTGTCTTTGGAGAAACAGCTCTCATGGGAACAGCATTACCTGTATTCAATTCTGAAATAAAATTAAGAAATATGCTTATTTATTAACTTTTAGGATACATTTTATTATAGTAGAATAATTCTGACAAGTCTTATGATGAAATTTGTATTGTGGAAAATTATATAATTGGAATGAACACAATTCTTACTGACAAATGTCACTCTATCAATCACTTCCTTTTATCTTTAAACATCATTTTTCAATAGCAACAATCACTTGTGGAGTATGTCATCTTAGATTGTGTAAGTGCTAGTGCTTTTATTTCCAACAGTAGCACAGCTCTGCAGTTCATCTGCTATGCTTTTCCTTACTGAGTGGGCTTCATGTGTGTTCAAACTAGATCTCAGAGGAAATTAATCCAGAAGCTCTATCCTAAGTATTTAGTAAGTACTTTCTAACCCCCAACAGGGATGTCAAGTCCCAGTGATGGGTCCCCTGAATGGCTCCAAACTACACTGCATAGTTGGAACATTGGGTCAGGGCCAGATGTGATCCAGCCCTGAATGGTGCAGATCTGTAGATGAAGAAGCCTCAGCACAAAGTGCTTGGTTTTGCTGAGCTGTAGCTTTTTCTCCAAATTGCTTTTTAATGTAGGGCTTAACCTTAGAAACAGAGAAGAAAGTTTCAGCTTCTGTCGCTATGGTTTTGTATGCAGCCCTTCTGTGGTATTTTAGCTTGGGTGTGTAATTTACTGCACAATTAAAAGTATTGACAAAACACTTGTGTGCACCTTTGGTATTGGGGAGATCATTTCAACAGCTCTTGTATTATGGAAAACTCAAAGAGCAGCAATCTGAGAAAACACTAATGAACATTAAAACCCTGGGAAGTGGTTGCATTGTGACAGGCTTCTTGGACCAAGATAAAATGTGATTTGAAGCAAGAATATTTGCTGCAAACGTCAATTGGATTTAAAACTAATATTGTCTTTCATTTTTGTCAGAAAAGTCTTCAGTCAGGGAAAATATGTAAGTTGGGGGCTTTTTTCATCAAATTGAACAGGCTCAAAGGTTTTCCTGGTTTTGATCTGTTATGATATTGGTTTGCCTATCTTATATAGCCTCATGAATTCCATGAAATGTTAGTACTCCTCAGCCCCAAGGACAAACTGAAAAGATGTTAAATTATGAAGTGTCTGACCTTGGTTATATTTTCTGTACATGAACAGAAGAGTTAAGACAGTGACAAAGGGTTTAGTGGAAGAAGAAATCTAATGATTTTTTATAATAGCAGAATGGCTGTGCAGAAAAGGCTTTTAAGTAATCAGGACCACACAAGCTAATTTGCAACGCATAGTATAAATTATGTGTAGATTCTTTCAGATTGTTGGAATTAACTCCAGGGATATTTTTAGAGCAACTTTGTTTGGTTTAATGAAAACAATTATTAAATCATTATTCAATGAAAATAGTTATTTCATCTTGTTTGTATGTAAATTATCATATTCATATATCATCACCATTATCCTCTAAATAATGTGCCTGTTCAAGATTGCATCTGTTTGGTGAAAATGCTCAGGTTTCTCTGAGTAACTTCTCTGCTTTTCTTGCAGGTTGTATATAAAAATAACGATGTCAGGTTGGAGCTGTCTCGACTTGCCAAGCAAGGGGATCCTAAAATGAAGATTCATGGGGTTGTAGCATTTAAATGTGAGAATGTTGCAACCTTAGATCCAATCACATTTGAAACACCAGAGTCTTTCATCTCTCTGCCAAAGTGGAATGCCAAGAAAACAGGCTCAATATCATTTGACTTTCGCACAACTGAGCCAAATGGCCTGATTCTTTTCAGTCACGGGAAACCAAGGCACCAAAAAGATGCCAAACATCCACAGATGGTGAAGGTTGATTTTTTTGCCATTGAGATGCTTGATGGCCACCTCTACCTACTGTTAGACATGGGATCAGGTACTATAAAAATAAAAGCCTTGCAGAAGAAGGTGAATGATGGTGAATGGTACCATGTGGATTTTCAGCGGGATGGGCGGTCAGGTAAGTTCCTTTTGTCTGCATTCAGAATAGCTTTTTCTGCTGCATCTGAGAGAATACTGGGGACATATTGATGCTGCCACAATTAGAGTTGGGCATCATCTGAAAAATAAGAAAATAAGTCATTACTTTCAGGTGCCAGAATACAATAATTTGCTGGGTAAAATGTAATATATTTACATTATTGAATAATCAAGTACTTAATCTTGCAAGTAAGTGTGTTGTGTGCTTGAAAAACCAACAGTAATCTCCGTCTGTGCTTGCTTACATCAAATAGCTGAAGTGGCAAGTTTGAAGAGTGAAAATAAAGCAAAAAAAGAATTACTGACAATAATCTCCAACACGGGGAATAGCTGCCCCACAGAATCAACACAGATCTTCCAATCATGTCAGCAGATCTCAGTGTACTTAAATGATATGCTAATAAATTACAAACAACACATGTCAGCAGAAGTGGAAATAATGGATTTGCCTCATTCTATCAGTGTGATTCATATTCTGGAGTAGTTTACTCAAAAAATGATCACGCTGAGAAGTGGTAAAAATAAGGAATTCATGAACTCTTCTTCATGCTACTGAAATATAATATGGTTTAAAGTGCATTTATCCAGTGAAATCATCAATGTGTATCAGCTTGTCTCATCTGGAGTATATATCTTGTCTTAAGCAAATAATCAATATACATCAATTTAAGGACAGCTCTCCTCTACAGTGACTTTCCTGTACTTCATGCCAGGATTTGGGGAGGAAGGGGGCAGGGAATGTAATGAGTCTGTAATTTAGACCTGAAGATTTTCTGATTAATATCAATATTCAACCTGAAGTTTATGTAGGCTCTAAAATTGGCTGTTGACAAATTTAACTACACTTATTTTGGATTTCATGGGATTTTCCCCCACTTTCTTCCTTCTGGTGTCTACCTTTCCATAGCTTGCATTTATAATTTCTTTATGAAACTTAACCTCCAAAAAAGTTATCATCTTATGATTTAAGGTCTTACTACACACAAATCATACTTCAGATAAAGCAAATCTTAGGTACTGGTTTAAATTGAAGATTTTGGTCAAATCCATGCTGAAATCCACCTGCATAATTATTTGATTCCTGGGCAGTGTAGTTTCAAATTCTAATGGTACAGACCTTGATTTTCTTATTATGTCAGTTGCTATTTTAGATTTCTTGAGCTTAATAAACCAACCAAACAAGAACAAACAAAACCCAACAAAACAAAAACAAACAGAAAGGGAAAAAGAACCCTAACTGAACAACAAAACACAACTTCTCAAAAGCCTCAACTGGAATTGAACATCCAGCAGTTTTATTATTTATACTACAGTTTTCATTTCAGACTTTCTTCTTAAGTGCTGTTTCAGTGATTCATATGAGGCAGTAAATCCTGTAATAATCATGCCTGTGGGACTGCTGAAAGCAAAGTTTATTCTTACATCTAAAGCCAACACATCTATAAAGGAATGAAATAAATGCATAGCAATTGTTTACATTTGAAGATAAGTTCTGCCCTTTCATTGCTTCACAAAACACTTGACTCACAGGTGCCATTAAGAGAGTTTAGGGCATTCTTTAATTCTTTAAAACTGTTAATGGACATCAGCAAGAATTAAGAGTGATTTCAGGAAGCAAAACAGGCATGGTGATCAGGATTGCGTATTTTTTTTTAAGTAGAATTATGAATAATCAAATTAATCCATCTGATGATTTGCCTATGATCAAGATGGGTGAAATTTATGCACCCCCATCACTGTTGAAAACTAATCATAATACATCTTAACTCTGAGAGATTGAACTATTACTATGAATACTGAATAAAAATATTCAGGCTTAAGGACTGGCAAATTGAATTTTAACGGCAATCTGAAATAGAATCAAAATTTTTCTATTATTCTAGTACATACAATACTAATTTATGGTAGAAGTTCCTATAACATTGGCAATGCTTTTATTTGTCTTAATGGTGGTAAGATCTGGTTATTAAAATTTTTAAAGAGATACCTTTGCCTGAATTAAGGTGAAATGAGACTGTGTGCCAAAGTAAAAAATAGGGATTTTATGTAACTGTAAATGTGATATAGAGGGAAGTAGAAAGAAATTGTAAAAAGGAGTGGGGGGGCACATTTAATTCTGACTGGGCCCTGGCTTCCCTAATGTTATCCCCATCACCCTGACAATTTTACTATATTCCACCAAAGCCACCTGAAAGCTCTGCCTTCTGAAAGCTCTTTTTCTGCTCCGAGTTTGCTCAGCAGCTCCTCATCCATCCATGGAGGCCTGCTGGCATTTTGCCCCATTACACTGGGTTGCGTCGTGTCTGAGCTTGGAGAAAGCGTTCCTTGAACACCAGTCAGCATCCTTGGGCCCTCTGCCCTCCAGGGCTCTTTGCCATTGGGCTCCACTGAATAGTGCCTTGAAGAGGACAAAGTCTGCTCTCCTGAAGTCCAGGGCAGTGACTTTGCTGTGTGCCCTCCTCGCTGTCCTGAGTATCTCATCCCCCTCCACCTCATGGTCAAGTTATGCATTGTTGGTGTCTTACCCATAAAGAATAACATTCACTTTACTATTTCGGGATGTTTTTTTGTTTCTTTTCTCTAGCCCAGACCAAACATGCTAAGAATCACAGGAATATGATTACTTTTCACTAGCTTTCCTTCAGAATTTTTATATAACTGAATGAATATTCCTTGTATAGAAAAAAAAAATTGCTTTTCTGAGACTTTCTTGTTGCCATTGACAGCATATTTCCCTAGCTATCAAACATAAAGGAAGAGATTCTTCTGTTAATGAATAAGTAGCTCAAATAAGCTGTGACTCTTTTCTTCTTTAAATTAAGTTTGGTGTCTTTCAACCTTTTGCTCCTAGACTTCAAATCCAGTGCAGAGTGGTTCTCCCCTATAGAACAATGTTGTGACATTTCTCAAGGAGCTTTGCTAATTTCATTGACTTTCATATTAGCTGGATCAGCAAGTACTAGATTTATTTCTCATTCTTTGCTCTCTTCCAGACTCGCAGTCGCAGTGAGCATTCACTCTAAGCTTCTGACTTTGCCTTTGCTTGTCTGGGACTGTGGTGGAGGAGGGAGGGAGGTGTAAGGAATCTGAACACATTTTTAAATTGTAATCAGCCAGGCCCCACTCACTAGTAATTCTGTCAATCCACTCAGATTTTGAGAGATACAAGGAAGAGGGAAGATATGGTGCCTTTTAATTTCCTTTTGCTGAAAGCTTTGACCTGTTATTCTTGTTTTCAACCTAGAATCCCATTCTGTTTTCCTGTAAGACTTACTCTGAGTGCTTTCTCACCTAAAAAAGATCACTGGCAGGCCAGAGTTCCTGAGACCATATTTAGTTAACATTTAAGGGTTAGATATAAGAAATATTCATAAGATATTCTCCCGTGGTCTATCCTTCTTGCTAGGTGTGCAGCAGTGCTACCAGCTGCCGTGTCCCGAGTTTTCCCCCAGTGCTCCTGAGCTGCATGTCGTGAATTTCTGGGAAGGATCACAGCTGCCTACTGTGTGTCCTGTCTGGGCCATGGGCTGCATGCTGCAGCCACAGTCCTCATCACAGCTATTATATTGTGTTTTAACACAGAAGATGTATTTGGAATTAATACCATGCTCTGATTTTTCAATATTTCTTAATAAGCAGATGTTTTTCACACACACAAAAAGCGGCTAAAATAGGCCATGTCAGGTAAGCAGAGAGATCAGAACAGTTGCAGTAGCTGCACTTAAAATCTTCATATTTAACTGATCAGGAAAGAGAGGAGATTTAGAAATGTGATTTTTGTTTCTTATGCACAGTTTTAGGAAAAATAAATTGCTGAGATAATGAATATGATTGGAGAGGCTCATTAAGCCATACCTAAGGGAAATGTTTGCCTGTTCTGCTCTTAACAGTACTGCAGACTCTGCAGAAAAAAAGAATTAGGAAAAAACCCCACAAACCCAAACTAAATAAAAAACAACCATGAAGCAGCTGTGAAGGTATTTGCTCACAGTGTTTCTTGTAACACAGTAGGAATAGGTTTAATGACTGTTTTCTGAGTAAATTATTCTTTAATTTTTTAAAAAAAACTGTTTGCCATATGCAAGAATAATCATGCAATTTTTTTTTTTTTTTTTTTTTTTTTTTTTTTTTTTTTTTTTTTTTTTTTTCTCAACCACCATTCATCCTTTGGAAGCCACCATTACATAGTGAATTCAGGGAGGAAACTTACTCTTCTTGTCAACCTCCAATTGTGCAGGGCAGCATAAAGCACAATGTATCAGCATCTATTCATAGGCAGCATTTAAGGGCTGAGTCACTGAAATTTTGAACTAAAGTTAGTTTCAGCTTGAACTCCAGAAATGATTTCTGGAGTATGTAATTAGAGTTTAACTATAATCAACATCTCACTGTAAGTAGGGCTTTGTGTTGTCTATTACATGTGGTGTTGTTGCATGTTCTTTTTTTTTCACATGTACTCTTCTACATATTACTTCCCACATCTTTTTAACCTTTTAAAAACAGCCAGATTTTTTGTGTTCCTTTTTCAACAGATGTTAATAGTTTTCATACATGGGAGGATTAATGGATATTCTTTCAATGATCTGCAGCTTCCTTGGCTGATCTACATCTTTCTCAGAGTCCAGGATAAAACTTAACCAACACTCAGCCAAGTGGCACAGGAGGCTTCTCTGTAATCCCTAATATATTTCCCTTTTTGCTCACGTGTATTATTGTTAACTTATATTGTTGACTATTCCTTTGAAGGACTTCTCACTAATCAGTTACCCTTTTAAGTCAATAATTCTTGCTGAAAACCATAACTTCATTAGTTTTTCTCAATCTGCTTTTCCAATGCAGCAAGAAGTTTCTGAATGTTAAATTGCACAGTGTTCTCAGGTGAAATGCTGCAGAATCTTGTTTTTAGAATCTGAAGCTAGATCATAAATTCCCAAACTAAAGAAGTCACCCCACACCTTCTTGTCTTTGTCATTCCCTTTTACTTCTTTCAAGCAGGACAAATCACGTGCTGTCAGCATTCTTCCAATGTTTTCTTATTCTGATGGAAATGCAAAAATTATTTCCTACTTTGAGTCTTAAAAATTTTTGAATAGAAGCTGCGTGTTTCCTGGAAGGCATTATGGCTCTTTTCAAAGAAGTGGTATCACTGCTTATCTGGTTCTGGGTGCTGTTGCGAAAAGAAGGAAGTCTGAGGATGGCTCTTGCTCCCAAGATGTTACAGTTTCAAGTTATAGTTTTCTCTTGCTCGAGCATCCAGTGCTCTTCTGAATCTGCTGCTTCCTCATAAAATCTGTTGTCTCTAGGTTATTTTGTTAAACAAGATATGTCCCATTCTTTCCTCTTGTAAAATTTGACAATTTTGTCTTGAGAATGGCATTTTAGTATCTCTACAAGGAAAATTATTAACTCTTTTTGTGCTAGCCACATAAGACATTTGCATGCTCCCGTAGCTTCCCCTTCTTCCTCTATGGAAAGTGATGTCCCTTCACATTCATAAGCAGAAACATCTGAATGGATTGGAGCACACTGGTTATTCATCAAACCAATTTCTTTTAATCTGCCTATAATACCCAGGGAAAGTAGAATTGAAGTATATGAAAGGAGGTGTGCATCATAGTCCCCAATTTCTGTGGCAGCCTCTCCCGTTGTTAGGAGATCCAGCTTGAGATGTTTTCAGTAGAACTAAGAAAGTTTCTCTTAAGAAAGATAACAATCTTTAAAAAAAACCTGAAAAAACAAACCAAACACTAACAAACCACAGGAAAAAAAAAACACAAAAACAACAAACCCAAACCCCTGCAATAAATTTAAAAAACTGTTAATAAAAATCACCCCCACCCAAAAACAAAACAAAACAAAAAAAAAAAACAAAACCAAAAAACCCTCACCAAGATGAAACAGCATGTGCTACCACCTCTGTCCCAGCCCTGGGTGCACTGGAAATCCAAAGGTGCTGATGGAACCATTGTTTATTTTCTGTAGGCCAACTTTCTATGATCCAACTTTCTGCATTTTGTTGTAGAATGCTTAAAAGGCCTGTTATTTTTGCTGTATTTTGGAATATTTTTCTGTTCCCTTATTTTACTTGGATTTTCCTTTTTTCATCTGTGTTTACAAGCAATTAGTGAGTAAAGTTTGTTGTCTGTCAGAGATACATAAAAGGTAATTTGGATATCATCAGCAGTGATGGCTGTGTGGTTGCCTATCACATTTTTCTACCCATAGTCGTTAAATGCCATGATTGCAAGGTTTCAGATCAAGTTTCAGAGGACTTCTCACACAGAGTATTTTATGGGGTTTCATGTCTTTTACCTGGGAAGGTAAAAAGTTCATTTCTTTAAGAAGCTGTTGACATCTATTCAAACTAATACTTGAGTATTAAGCTCTCTTCAGGGTAATCCTTTATGACACAGAGAAGAAAAATTTCCTGCTTCAATCTATCACTTTAGTATAACTCACAGTCACCAGTTTCCCTTATCATTCACCTTCCTAAGCCTTCTGTGCTTGCAAAACTTCCACTTGGAACACAGAGTAGCAGCTACATTAGCAGATTTATCTTTTTCTGTGAGCTGAAGGGTAATTAAGACATAGTAGATTTTTATTTTTTAATAGAAAAGGAGTTTTTGGGATTCTTTGTTAATGTGTCAAAAATATGGCTGTTTTTGTCCAGCAGAAAGCAACACTGTTCACATGTTGGAGCTTGCTGTTGAAGGCTGCAGCTGAGTTAACGTGTGTGGGTGCACAAGTGGGTGCTGCCTGAACATGGGTTTAGAGTGTTTGCTCCCAAATTAGCCTGTGCATCAACAGATGGCAGCAAGCAACAATAGCAGTAAAAAACACTGTGAGGACAAGTACAATTTATATTTACATTCTCTCTAATGTTTTTAGAGACAAAAAGATTTGTTGGCTGTTAGCCATCCTTCCTGATACCCTAGGATGCTCTCTGAAAAGTCTCTCTTGGTTTGACAGGTCATTCACAGGTGTCCTTGTTTGACTCGGCTGATTAATCAAATCTCAAAATGTTTATGCTTGCATGCCTAAGGTCAAACCTATAGCAAGCATTCCATATGAGTGCCAAGTTCTGCTTCTAGAAGCTGAGAAGCAACAACAAATTTTTAGAGTTAGCAAACCCTAATCTCTTATCAGTTTTAAACAGATGGAAGTTTGGAAGAAAAAGTATCTTGTTTCAGCATGTCTATTTCTTACTTTCGTGGAAGTTCACTTTTATATCTATGGGATTATTCAAGTGACACAGAAAACATTTCTTAGAATACATAAAGGAGAAAACTGACCACATCCTCACTCTTTAAACATGCTTATAAAGATGTAAAAATGCTATGCAAGCCTTTGTTTTGTCTTGCTAGTTCTCTTCTGGTAGTAGGGAGACTGTGGTGTCCACCCCTTCTAAAATTGATGACTCAAGTCTCACATGGGAGTTGGACTTCCTGAGACCTTTACCCCAAACAGCTTTTACTAACGATCCAAATTCTTTAGATATTCATTCTGTCAATGCTGTTGAAGTAACCTACTGAACCAACAAAAGAACAGAAAAAAGTATAGCTTCCACAGGAGTCTGTTACTAAAAGAGAAGCCTAAATTTTAGACTCTACCCAAGTAAGAGAATGATCTTCTTCTGACCTGCCTTTGTTTGCTTAAAACTCACATTTTAGTGCGTATGCTGTGTAAAGTGTGAATTTCTTCTTATGCACAACTCCTACCACAGTGGAAGCATTTTTGGTAATCAGTGTTATCTTCTGGAATCTGTTTCAGGCTAACAGTGGAGATGGTGAATCATGTTCACTTTGTATATATATGTATGCTAAATTCATCATGGTGAATGCAATTCTTCAGTGTCCTGTCACCACTAAAACACTTTCAATGTCATGCCCAGCAGATAAGTGTTGCATGATATGACTGGTCATTAGAATAGTTTTGTGACCTATATAATATTTTGATTTATATCTTGTTTGGTTTTGTACCCATGTAGAGTGATAAGGAATCACTGCTGTGAAGGTCTACTTGAAGATTTTTTTGCCAAGTGATTTTACTTAGAAATAAAATTAAAATTGGTTGGCATAAGTATGCTCTATGACTGTATTTTCTAAATTTGTTTTTCTTATTCAAATTGTAGGTGTTGCATACCTCATTATTTTAAACAAAAACCACCAAAAAAAGGTTCTTTGCTGATGATTACATTTTCTTTGTTCAGACACTTCATAAAAAGAACTCTATTTAAGTTCAATTTTGTTTATTAAATTTTTAGACTAAAATGGAAAAGATATTTCTGGTTTCCTGAAGGTCTGCATGCATCTTCTCTCCCTCTCATCATAACATGCACACATTTCAAGATAAATGTCAGAGGCATTGATTTTCCCTCCAGGACCACAACACTTCCTCTTAATGATTGCCTGCCTGGCAGCTGATGAGAGCATTTTCCTTCTGCATTTAAAGAAAAAAAAAGTCTTACCCAAAGCCCACTGAAAGTGGTGAAAGTCTTTTAAAGTGCTCTGTCTTTGGGCCCAAACCAAACTCTCAGGTTTGCCTTCCAGGTTGTAACCTATCAATGCAACCCTGGCCTTAGAGCTTTGAAATACATATCAGGGAGTGAAGATATTTTTGTTGTTGCTGCTGCACAAAGAGGATATTTCTGCAAATAACTATGAACTGCATTACTCCTGTACCTAGGAGATAAGTAAGGAGATTTTGACTGGGATTTTTCATATTGTGTTCATGCACTGTTGTGCATAAATGATTTTTAGATCATTAACTTCTTGACTACACTGCAATTGAAATGCTGAAGTGTTTCAATGATTCTATAGCTGTACAAGTATAATACCTCTGCTTCACTTCCAGCTGTTTGTCAGGAGCTAATGTGTTATGTACATGATTGAGTAAAAAAAGCAGTACCAAAATCAAATATCTTGCAAATAACCTGTTGAATTGTCTTTCCAGGGACGATATCTGTGAACACGTTACGTACTCCATATACTGCACCAGGGGAAAGTGAAATCCTTGACTTGGATGATGACTTGTATCTTGGAGGCTTACCAGAAAATAAAGCAGGCCTGGTCTTCCCAACAGAAGTGTGGACAGCACTCCTCAATTATGGATATGTCGGCTGCATTCGAGATTTATTTATTGATGGTCAAAGCAAAGATATTCGACAGATGGCTGAAATTCAAAGCACAGCTGGAGTAAAACCCTCATGCTCAAGAGAAACTGCAAAGCCTTGCCTTAGCAACCCCTGTAAAAACAATGGTGTGTGCAGGGATGGGTGGAACAGATATGTGTGTGATTGCTCTGGCACGGGGTACCTTGGCAGATCGTGCGAAAGAGGTAGGTTCTGTGAGATGGCTGTACTTCTATATGTCAAAAAAAAAAGAACAGTCATAAAATAAATAAAATCCTGTCAATCATTAAAAATGGTAAATTATCATTAAGTGTCCTGAGGCAAACAAGGAATCCTTGATTTCTCTTGGCGTGAGGTAGAGCCCTGCTCTAGACTCAAAGCAGTAAATCTGGAGGAAAGATCTTAGAGGAGACTAAGGTGCATGGAGAAGTATTAGGTGGCTATGACAGAGTCAGTACTGCTGAATATCACCTCGGAAATGCCTCCTTTTGTGTCTCATCATACGTTGCTGAGCTCCAAAAAGCTTTGTGAAAACAATTTTAAATATTGTTGCATTGCTATGATGCCTTGGAGCGACTATCTAGAACAGAGGCTAGCCAAAGTTAAGCGAATAAAGTGAGTACGTGTTAAAGGCCTTCAATAGATACACCTTGGGCAGGGGAAAAGCCTCCCAGAGGCTACACTCAAGATGGACGATGGTCACAAGTTTTTCAGACAGATATGAGTTTTGTCCATATACGTACCAGGGGTTAATCCTCTAATTGCAGCTTCTGGTAACGAAGTCGTGTACCCCCAGTGTTCACCCCTGCAATTCACTTTTGTTTATGTTTTTTAGGGCCTGAGGGTGTCCTCGGGTTCCAGGCCCAGAGGAAATTTTTTGGTCTGGCCAAAGTGTGAAGGGTGGTTAGCACTTTATATGAAATTTAGAGTTATGCACTAATACAGCACAGGATTTGAAAAATATAAGTCTAAATATTAAGGCGTCAGCTAGATTGTCACATTCCAGTTCCAAAAGGAGGTCTTGTTCTCTGCCTATTTATTTCAATATATTCCTATATAATTAAATTTACTTTTGAATTCCACAGTGTCACTTAAATCCATGGCCAGAACTTCACTCATGAGTGAAAGCAGAAGAGTCAGTAGAAATTAATATGTTTGTTACATATTAATTTTTGGAAAAATACAAATACCCAAGGAAACTGTCTGAAGTTCCCTAAAATCTGAGTATTCCTCTTGCCTAGAAAAGGTAACAGTGAAATCGACAAACTCCATTTATTTAATTGAAAAGGTAGATAATGCTAAGGAAGGCAGATGTTAGTGTTAGTTAATAGATAGAAAATCCTGTAATTTATTTAAAATTTCAGTGTACTAGTGAAAAATTTTAATATAAGGAGTTAAACAATGAAAATAAATGTATTTAATATTTTAGGTTTTTATTTTTCTTACTGGAATAGAAAGTGTTTCAATGCTAGGAGTTACATTTTTTCATCTCACAGCTGACACAGTATTTTCTTCGAATTTTTCTTCAACCTGAAATCTAAACGTTAAGTTTATTGACTGAACATGTAAGTTCTTTTCATCTAGTTTGATTAATTTTTCGAGTTTGTCAGATGAAACAAATATGTTTCATCACAAATTGACAAATAAACCCCCAATGAATGTCTTAAGTTGTATGTCAGTAGAAATGTGCATTTATGTAGTATGGATACCTACTATATCATTTTATCGTTATTTATATTTTCCTATATATTATTATCATATTATCATCCATCATATTATCATCATTTGCAAGTAGATTCTCAGATTCTTCAGTGGGGTTTCTCTGTCTTCTGTTCTGGCTGTTGATGCCCTGGCTCACGGCCAGCTGTGCTGAGCTCTCCAGGCTGCTGTTCCCGGTGGAGGCAGAGGAATATCGGAGCTGCCTGCTGCATCCCTGCAGCCCTCGGTTAAACATGGCTGGTGTACCACCCTGTGGCCAAACTCTCCTATTACACAGGGGCTCGAGCCAAAACCGGGTTTGCATTTTATTCCCACGGAAAAGCCAGGAAACATGTGCCTTAGAGACATAAACACATGCAGATCTGCAAAGAACTGAAAGCAGGCTTCATCACAGCAACTTCCCATACTCTCACTGGACAGGTGGTGATGTTTTATAAAGAAACCTTTGCCTTTTATTTCCCATGCCTTATTTTCAAGCATTGTCCAGCTTAATTCTTCATTTTCCCAGTGCATTCCCCTGGTGGGGATGGTGGTACTGGAGTGGTGGTGTTGGCACCTCCACAACAACGTTTGGTTCTTGTCCAACAGAAATATGTGTGGCACTTCAGCACTATGAGATCATTTACTGCTCTTGGGTTTCCCTCTCCAGAGGGAACTGCACGGAATGGAGATGTCTTCTCAGTAATATTCATATCCCAAGTGGTCATGCATTAATAAGATTATAGCGTTTGGGATGCTGAAAGCGTTGTGTTGGCATCCTACCACACAAAGTTATTATAACTGCTACCCGTGTGTAGGAACTGATAAACTTTTGTATTTGGTGGTATAAGCAGCACATTTACAAATGTTCAAGCTAATTTAAATAAAAGGGGAACACACTCATTTCAGCAAACAATACAGATTCACTAAGAAAGCTTTAGAATAATATACTGGAGATTAAAAAACTAGAATATTTAGCATTAAGTAATGAAGGTGTCTTAATTTAAAAAAAAGTGTGAAGTTACTTTTTATTTCCATTTAATTTTACTTTTCATATTCACCTGAAATAGGAGTGCTAAAATCCTTACATGGATGTTTCAGAACTTGAAATATTTTCAACTCATTAGTGCACAGCACCCCTGGAACACCATTGTGGTTTATTTTAATTTGTGCATACTTAAAATTATATATATATATACACAATCACAACTCATGTATATATTTATATCCACATACATTTTGTCCTGTTGGAAGTTATAGTTGATTTTATTCTTGATTTTCAGTAAGGTTAATAATAATAACCAGCATTATTTGTATATTGGCTTTAATAGATTATGAAAACTCTAGCAGATGTCACAGCAATATAATTTGGTGTCCTCCCTTACTTTGTGGATCACTGAGTGAGTGACTGCTCTTTGCAAAGCCTTTTGCAGGTGTATTCTTTGACTGGATAGCCAGGAACAGTAGTAAAATCATCAAACAGGGATAAGAAAAAGTAAGCATGCAGACAAAGGTTATGAAGTTGACATTTCTGAAGAGAAAATCTTTTTAAAGTAGAGTGTGTGTAGATGTCCATATTGTGCATGCACAGACCCCTACATACACATATACGCATTAAATGAATGCAGCTTTCATTCCTTGTGTTATATAGGGATGCTTTAAAAATTTAAATTAAGAATAGAGGTGGTATGAGGATAGATGGCATGAAGAATCAAGTGTTCTAAACATTATACTAATTCCATCACTGTCTCAAATTAACTGATTGATCCTGTGTGTTAAAGTTGTGACAAACTTAGAGTGTAACTTAGGACCTTAGTCCTGAAATAATACCAGTGTAGGAATTGGGAGGAATAATTTCAGCTTCCATTCACACATTACCCAGTAAATAATCACATATAGAGTATTGTTTCTATCAAATTGATGGAAATGTTTCCTATAAATCTCCAAGGCTGCAGCTTTGGGCCCAGGTGGAGTGAAGAAGATGCCATGTAGAAAACCCAAAACACCTGGAAAGAAAACAAAAAGTTCAAATTTGACTCTAGCAGCCAGTATATTTGGATGCACAATTTCTAGGAGTAAAATCATATCTATCAGGAACATTTTTAGGGCATGACATTGTTGCTCTACTTGGACTGGTAAATAAAACAGGATCAGAGAGCAAACCTGAATACTTGATTATGGATGATCCAGATTGCTCATACGTATCCTGGTATGACTCTGGGCTGTATAATCTGTCATTTCTGGGCAAAGTTTGTGTGGGGTTTTAGTGACAGCAGACAGGGTGATTTTGTGCTTTAAAAATGGCTCTGTGGGATGCAATACAGTCCTTATATTATTGCAGACACACTGAAACTGAAAAAGCGGGGAGGGAAAAAATTAATAATTCTTTGGGACTTCTCAGGCACCAGTAAGTGTCCAGAGGAGACAAGATCTGTTTTATTTATTAAATTCTGTGCAATAGGCATTTGTACTCACCAAGAATCATGTTTTTAAAACAACTCAAACTTCACTCCAAAACTTATGAGAGAGCACTGAAATCCAAGTGCGTAGTCTACACTTGTTTCAGTTTTATTTAAATAGGCTGTGAGTTGAAGAATGGCATCTATTCAGGAAATTCTACTTTAAAAATATCCCGTTGAGCATTTCTGAGGGTAGGAGCAGATGTAGGAAAGTTTCCAGAAGAGTTGGTGCCTCAGTCTCTTGAGCAATTTAGGTAATTCCAGCTCAAGTGGAAATTAAGGTCCTGAATCTCCTCTCATGTCAGTAGTGATCTGTGCATCCTTGGCTTTAGACACAGAGATAATTGAGGGTGGTGTGTATGTAGAAAAGAAGACTATCCAGCCATGAAGATTTTAATAAGAAACAAATTGAAGAAAAAAAAAATTGAGAGAGAGAACTAAACTCTTCTGTGGGGGTTGTTTTGGAGTTTGGTTCATTTGTGTGTTTGCTTGGCTGGTTTTTAGCACAGGAGCAGGAAAAGTTTGAATTGTCAGGTTTATAAAACTGTCAAAGAATGAATGTATAAAACATTTTTATACAAATATCTGTACTATGTAAAGCCATGTATTCCTTAATAGCTCCACTGCATGTACTTATCTACTGCCACAAAAAAACTTGTCAGCAATTATTTTATCAGGATTTTCAGCTGTTTTTTCTTTTCAGCATTATCATTCCAACAGTGAAGTGGTAGTAAAGCTATTACTCTTTTCCTTATTTCTTTAAATGAGTATCACATCCTGAGCTAAACTTTTAGTTTATTACCTTTTGATCTAATAATTAAGAGAAAGCTGAACAAGAGAAAAAATACCTTCTGCCAACACTTATGTGAGAATATTTAGCAATGTAAAGATGAGGCATCATCTTGGAATTAGTTGATCCAAAGCAAAAAAAAAACCAACCAAAAAAAAACCCCACCAAAAATATATATTTTTAACTGAATTGTCATTCAGGTCACCTTCTTACTGACTAGGCCTTCTAAATTAGCAATCCATTCCTGCCAGTTTTGTTCTTGGTTCTGCTTTGTTTGTCATTTGGGATTTTTTGGGGTTGGTTTTGTGTTTGATTTTGATTTGTTTTTTGTTTTACGTTTGCCTTTGTGTTTTTCATTTGTTTTGTTTCTGGCTTTAGTTTTGCTTGGTTGTTTTTGTTTTGATTTTTTTTGTTTGGTTTTGTTTGGGTTTTTGGTTGGTTTTTATGTTTGTTTGTTTTTTGGTTTTTTTTTTAGTTTGGAAAGGGTTTTGTTGGGTTTTGTTTTTTCTTTTTCCTTTTTCTCTCCCCAAACATACTTTCATATTTAGAAATCCTGTGCCTTGGAAAGGGCATATTGACATATTAAAAGGAGCTAGTTGACATGAGGGGCTTTCTCATTGCCCAGAGCTTTTAAGTCATTTGATCTTCTGTTCAGCGTCTTTGGTCTGTTCTTGGAACATCTGTTCCCAAAATACTGGCACAGTATGGCTTTGGAGGATTAAGTATCTAATCACAATTGGTCTGCTCGCCATGGTGTTACTCACAGGCCATCCCCAATTAAATTGTCTCCAATTAAGTTTCTTTTCTCCTTTTTCTGCAATTTTCAAAAAAACCCAACTCGAATAATTAAAGGAAAGTTGGCAAAAAGTAGCAGTGCTGATTCTGACAGCTCTCTTTTTTACTTTATCCTAAGATAATTTGTTAGCAACAGAGCTCTAGTGTTGATAAATTTTGAGTTTGCTCTGTATATGAAAACCCTGATTATTATTACCAAGGTGGATTTCTATGGAAAATTCAAAATATCTTTTATTTTCTGTTGTGTTAGTATGTAACTTTAGGGTTTTTCCTGTAATTCCCTACCTAAATTATGTTTACCTTGATAAAAATCTTGTGAGATTTTTATGCACAGAGTAGACAGCTAGATATAGGAAGGAATTGAAAGTTCCTCTTTATGACTTCTCCCAAAAGCTAATAAACAAACGAGGAAACCCACAAAAACCCAACCCCAAAACTAACAAATAAAAACCCCAAACCATTAAAAGCAAATCACTTTCCACTGAAAACTTTTACTTGAAATCACTTTTCAAATTGTTGCAAGTTAAATATTTAATTTACTTCACTGAACAATTTTAGATTCAAAATATGGTGAAAACATGATTACCTGCATAGTCAGAAATCATCAAACCAGTAAATGCATTCTTATAACCTGTTACATCTAGGGACTTTCACAGCAGTCTCAGTAACCACTTGTTTTTTCCCAAAAGCAGACTGTTTTCTCCAAACCTTATTGGGGAAATTTAAAATACTTTGCACAAGAGAAGGTTGCCCAGAGAAGCTGTGGATGTCCCACCCCTGGAAATGTTCAAGGCCAGCTTGGATGGGCTTGGAGCAACCTGGTCTAGTAGGAAGTGTCCCTGCCCATGGCAGGGAACATGGGTGGAGCTGGGTGATCTTTAAGGTTCCTCTTATCCAAGCCATTTTCTGATTGTTTTAATGAAAACACCATTTATCAATTTTGCCTCTCGCAGAGTTAGTGGAACATTTTGTCCTTCTGTGGATTGTGTAGGCTGGAAGTCTTGAAGAGCTTATCTGCCCTTAGCAGCATACAAAATATGCTCTGGGAACAATTTTGGCAAACACTGTTGTGATATTTACTTTAACATAGTATCAGTAGTATTAGTCATTGAAAATATTATTGCACGTTGACACCACAATAAACTTATAGGTAAGTGCCTCCATTACACTGAAGCAAATTGAAGCATAGAGAAGCTTTTCATAGGTGTTTTCTGCCCACAATGTTTGATTGTCCAGCCAAAAAGGACTTACTAATAAATTTCAGAAATGTTTCCTTTGCTTTCTAGGAACTGCAGTGCCTCCCTGTGAGCAGAAATGCAGTCTCTTTGCTACCTTTCTTGTTACCAGCCTCGAAGCTGGAAAAAGAAAGCTTGTGACTGGTTGCTCTGGGGTCTAACAGACTGTGACTGCTCTGTGCCAGAGCCTCTGGCCGGGAGGGTTTCCTGGAATGTCTGAAAGTGACAGTTCTTCACTTGTCTTGAGGGTTTTAAGATGTTACCCTCAATATGCCAATTCTAGTCTCAGTCCTCTTGCTGAAGCTCTTGTAGTGTTCATATTAGCATTTTTGAGTTCATACTGTGGTTTTTGTAGTCATGGAACAATCTGTGCCCCATCCAAACTGTGCTGGGGACAGCCATGCATTTCAGGAGGATTTTTGCTCACTATACGATAATTGCAATCCATGGTTATGGCAATGCTAATGATTTTATACATGAAGCATTCTAAGGTGATTATCTAGGGGAATGACAGGCATGGGCTTTTGTTATGCTGTTAAGGTTACCTGAATATCTTTTACTGATTTGACCTAATTTGAGCAGTTCAGGCCTGCTCTTCCAAGCATTGCCTTACAAGTGATTTTACTGGTCTTGTTGAAGGTTCACACATGACTGGCTGGGTCATTAAAGAACAATTTTGTTTGTTTAAAAAGCATCAAGATTATGTCACTTAAAAACAAAACAAATCAAAACAAACCCTAACAAAAACCCCAAACCTGACTTCCCTTGTCTTCCAGTAATAATAATGAAAAGTAATATGTAGTTTTTCTACTACATATATACTGAACATACATTTACCATTGTACCTTTAAGGAGTTTCAGTAGACAGAGCATTAACAACTGGTTTTCTCCTTTATGTTTCCAGAGGCAACAATTTTAAGCTATGATGGAAGTATGTTTATGAAAATCCAGCTTCCTGTTGTGATGCACACAGAGGCAGAAGATGTTTCTTTAAGGTTCAGGTCCCAACGAGCTTATGGCATTTTAATGGCAACGACTTCCAGGGAATCTGCAGATACCCTTCGGTTAGAGCTGGATGCAGGACGAGTTAAGCTAACGGTCAACCTAGGTAACAACCTCTTCCTCCAAGAAATTAACATTTTCTTTACATTTTTCTTTTTGCTTGCAAACATTTATGAAACAGCCTGTTTTAACATTAAAAGTAAACTGAGATGAAAGATAAGCACACATCAATTCGGCATTTGCATATGTACACAAATACACGACCATTATTACAAGTTATTTTTGTTTTCTTTTGCATTTTTGTGTTCTTTATTTAGTCTTAACATTACCCACCACAATATTTTTGTACTGTTGTGTATTCTAAAAAAAGAAGACGGTCATCAGTGGTAATTTTTAGGTTAAATTGGTTTTTTTGATTGTGGAAGATTGGTCTCCCTCCACAATATCTTCAGAATAATAATTCCACAATTTCAATGTGCAAGCAGAAACAAAATATATGCAGGTCAGCTCAGTTTTACCTCCACCAATTAATCTATGACATGCAAATATATCAAAGACTTTCTGGTTTTAACACTGAAAATGTTGCAGTTAGATATTCCCACTGATTTCTTGGTCTCCTTTTTTTAGGTGTCAAATCTATATTATATCCATCTCCTCTTTTTTAAACAATTCTGTAGTGGTATTTTTGTAGTATCGAACGATAACACAACCCTTCAATGCCCAAAGACTGCGGCCCTCAGCAAACAGCCTTGTGAACACAGGAGGCACAAGCCCTTTTACAGAAAGAAAACAAAGAAAAATTGGTTTTCTTGTTTAAAATATGATGAACAAAATGTCAGGTTATTATTCTCTCTAGTTTAAAAAAAACAGTAAGTAAAGAAATAAATGCACTTTTGTTACACTTAAGTGGCAGAGTGGCGTAAGATGCTTCTGCCACACTTAAGTGACATAAGTCCAAGTCAGGACCTGAAACAGAACAGGAGGAAAATGCCCATCCCATGCAGCTATTCCCATTCAGGGGGATGCTCTTTTTAAAGGGAATGAAGTGGTTTTTTGCTTTAGTCACAGATTTAGAAAGCACCAGTGGGGAGTGAGGGGTAAGAAAATAACCACCTTGACCCTCCACTTCATCCAAGTGTGGCTCACAGAAATGCTGCCCTGGTGTTTAGTGGTGAGGAGGAGCAAAGGGTGTCACGAGTGACCCTTCCCTGCCTGTCCCCTCCTGCAGGGAGGCCATGGCGGGAAGCTCCGACGCTTTCTGTAAAGGGGGTGTGCAGGTGCTGCTCCTCGGCTGTTTGCAACCACTTTTCTGATGCGGTTGACGACACATGGCAAACTCAGCTATATGGAAACAAAATCTAGGTTTGATGGTATACATGTTCCTCAAAGGTGTAAACCAGGAGTAGCCATACAAACCAAGTAGCGTAGTGTAGGGTTTGGGGTTTGGTGTTTTTTTTTTGTTGTTTTTGGGGGTTTTTTTGGTGTTTTTGTTTTGTTTGGTGTTTTTTTGCTTTTTTTTTAATGTTGTTTTGTTGAGGTTTTTTAAAGTAATAAATGAATGTAGGTAGCCAGTAGAGGATCATGCACAAATCAGGTTAATGACTTTATATGCAAAACACCACCCTCTGCCTACTTCTATAGATCACGAAAGTCAACAAAAAGTAAATAAATTCATGCCCTAACAATATTGTTTCTTTCTCCAACACCCCCCTTTTATTTATTTCTCTCTTTTTTTTTTTTCTTAAGTCAGGCAAGAAAATAATCTTAAAATAGAAAGGATTATCTTCGTTCTCTAATGAGTGTTCATTAGTACATGATTTTTTTCTCTATATTAATATTACTTCACAGTAGTCACTGTTCATTTCTTAAGTCTAGACATTAAGGACATGTAAACCCACAACCCCTTATTTCTGGGCCTGGGTGATGAGCTCTGTGTGTCAATTCTTAGCTTCTGAAGATGAGCCTTTGAGGTTATACTATCCACAAGTTGTCCAAGGTGTCTGATTGTGGCCTGGCCTGCTCTATGACCCATTGTGACGGAGCACTTTCTAATTGCACTGAGAGAAATTACCTGTTCTTTCACAGATGGGGAGAAAGTTGCAGCCTGCCTCAGTTAAGCATCTTTGACTTTTAATCCTGACTTTTCACTTAGATTTGTCACCATGTAGCTTTGTTTGAAATTGGCCATTTTTACCCTATTTGTCGTTTCTATTGGTAAAGACTTCTCGCAGTATATCTGGGTTATAACAGTATGTAAAGACTGATGATATGGAGTGGCCATATTTGCATGTGTCTGTCCCCGGAAGGGTGGACTGTGATTTTATTGGATGTCTGCAGCTATTACCTTGAAGGATAAATTTTCATTTTTCATCTATTCTTCCCCATCTAGACTGTATCAGGATTAACTGTAATTCCAGTAAGTGCCTATTCAAACTTTTTAAAATGTTATTCCACCATTGTAAAATATGCAAACTAGAATGACAAAGATTGTGGACAGCTTGCAAGCATTTGATAATTTAATAATGAAATGTGATGATTAATTATCATGGTGTAAAAAGTCATCATATATTTTAGGACTTATTTTTTGTCCTTCACATAGGACATAACATTAACTAGAATATTAAAAAGGAAGCATTCTACAGGTTATAAACAAGCCTAGAAGAAATGGCGCCTGTAGTACTGTGTTATTCTAGATAGGCTATTTTATATTTACAGTGGCCATAGAATTTTTGAACCAGCATTTCTGATAAGCTATTACACTTTATTCCCCCACATCTTCCTTCTAATTTTCCTGACATTTTGCCTTCACCTTGTCGTTGGATTGTTGGAACACAATAGTTTTTATATACTAAAATTTCTATTTCACAATTCCTCTAGACAATTACCTGTATTTACCAGCTGGTTATAGCACAATTGGTTTTGCTAAGTCTTCAATATATGGAAATGTGATAAATTGTCGTAAGAGCATTATTAAATCTGAGAATGACTATATTTCTATGATGATTTTTTACACTTTAATTATGTTAAAAATCCTTGAATTGAACAATTTTTCTCTGTGATATGCATGTTTATGAAACAGAGGGAAACATTTGCCAGATGAATGGACTAAATTTTAACTTCTCTGATATTATTTGGATTAAGAGGCTATAATCTGAAAGGAGAAAAAGGACTGTGATTTTATTTTGAGTCTATGGAATTCCTGAATGGTGTCAACAAAATTATTGATAGTAAGTATGGTAGATTTGAGTTTTGGGTTGTTGTTCTGTTTCCCTTCCTAACAGGTTTTGCGGGCCAGAGGACTGGCTATACAAAAATAGAAAAAAAAAAAAGCTAAACAACAAACTGCACAGGTTTAATTTGTAGTTGGTAAGAGTTAAAACATGTTAACATAACATGTCTTAATAGTTTTATAACCCATAAAGAAAAACAAGAGTCGGAATTTATTCTTAATGTGTCATTTGCTAATAGATTTTTTAATTAATAATTTTTACAAGAAAAAATACAGCATTTGTATTAAAAAGCAGAAAAATTTCCAGAGACAAGTCTAATTTAACCTGTTCTTAAATTCAGAGAGGCTTCAATACAATAACAGAAATGCTTGTAATCACCAAGGCATAAAGATATTGTCCTCATATTAAAAAGAAAATAATAAGAAAGTAAAAAATTCTCACTTGCTAAAAATACATAAAATCATGAAAAATCTCAGAAGCATTTTCTTGGTCTGCCACAGGACACTATTGTTTTCTACTAAGGAAATCTCAATTAGAAAAAACAAGTGTAAGATAAGCAGCTTTTTGGGCAGATCTGTAATGAGGCTGCCTGCCTTTGGTAAATTTCTTCTTTTCCTAGGAAAAACAATACTGCTTTTTTTCTTAACTTCCGTAATAAAATCAGAAAATCCATCTGAAAATAGAGTTACTAACATAAGGAAACTACCCACAAATGAAGCCACAATATTACAGGTGTTTTCATTTTTTAGTCCCTTTTGGATTAATGATGTGCCAAAGATAAATTTAAATGGTTTCTAGGTTTCATTTTTTAACAAGGTTTGGATCAAAAGAGAATCTGCAAACACAAATAAGTCTCCAGTTAGAGGATTGCAAAGAGGAGCAATGTGTCTACTGGATTGGATTAGCACTTATAAATTCATGGGCTCATACAGAAGCAACATAATCTCTCTACAAGATATCCTTGGTATAAAATGCTTATAAGTTATTTTTCTTTACAGTTTGTTTATAGTGTTTTTGTTGTTATAAATGAACTTGGGTGATTATTTCCATCTCCCTGTGGTGCTTGTGTGTACTCAGCATCAGCTTTTGAGCTTTCAGTATGGTAAGTACTACAATGATTTCTTGTCTGCACTGGAGATTTTCAGCAACCAGATGTTTCACGAGCAATTTCTATATCCTAATTTTTAGGTTATGGAAAGTTATTGGTCTAAGTAGTCCTTAAAAATGCTTATTAGAAAATATAATGGGGTTTAGTGGGACACAATTTGTTTCAAAGCAACAGCATCCAGAACTGAAGTATTAAGTTGCTAAACACTGCAATAGTTGAGTGCCTCTCTTCTTTCTGCGATATGTATAAATCCTGATTTCAGGTTGATAGTAAATCTTGTTTTCATGTTTGAAAAATCTTTTTTTCCATTCCCTATTTCTGTTACTTAGAAATTAGTCCTGTTAATGTAACCTCAGTGTTGGGACTGAGAGTTATGTGTTATAACTAGCCTAGTAAAAGAGTTAAGGTCAGGGTGACGGAATCTGGTTTGAATTTGGAGAGACAATAAAAAAAAAATCCAAAAACGTCAGATGAACATCAGCAGGCTTGAGAGAAGAAAAAGGAAAATGGGAATGTAAACACCTGCTCCTGATGTGAACTGTAAACCCAGGGGATAAAATAGTGCACTTCCTCCTCCTCTCACTTTTTCCTGAAGCCTGTCTTCTGCTCACTGCAGATCAAATGAATAAGTGTTTGCTGACAGAGCTAAGATTATGGCAGCAACTTTTTCTACACATGGTCATCCCTTCACCTTTAGCTGATGTCCTGTCTTGCAGAAGAGGTGGCATTTTGGGGTCCTCCTTATTTGGAGGACAGAACTTTTAAAAA